TCGGTCAGTGTGGGGAAGGCTACAGGTTTAGAAGTGGAGAAGTCTTCAAGGGTAGAGCCCCTTAAGAAAATTTCTTCTGTGCCTCCAATTTAAGAACAAGAGGCAATGGGAAGGAGCTGATACATGGGACTAGACCTGATCATTTTTGTACCCTCCACTATTAAATCACTTAAGAATCAGATTGGTTCTGTCCTTACTCCTGTACCACACCACCTGCTGCAACAGAAAGGACTGGTTAGCAGAAACTGAGAGATGGGGCACCCCTTCCCCCACACCCCCCCCAAGCAAAGTTAGTGCTTCTCTCTTTTTTCTGTAACTTGTTACTTACCCTTTGTTCTTTTCTCCTTTGTAACTTACAGTTCTTATCTCTTGTTAAAATAATTCATCCCTGCTTGCTTCTCCCTGCTGTACTTCTTCCCCAGCTCTCCCCGGTCTAGGATGGCAAACCCACAGCACTCTTCAGCCTCACCCTCCCTAGCAGCTGTGTACAAAGGACCCAAGCAGATGCTCTCAAGGCTCAAGGTCAGAAGTTTTTTTGGTCTGTAAACCCCATCATCCTGTGCTCTCCTATTTTCTTTTCTAGTTTCTACTGAACTCAGTAACAATTAAGGATAACGTTCTTTGTGGCTCCACAAGTCAGAAAGGCTTCATTTAGCAGCAGAGGATACATTTAGATCAGAAACTCTGGCTTTGGACCTGAAATACAGAATTTGGAAATACTTGGCAGGGAAGAACCATATTACTGCATTCTTTACTTCAATGCCTGCTTGTAGTCCTGTTTTCCTCAACACACACACACCCCTGTCCTTGACGCCCCCCACCTCCACTCTTAACTCCCGTCTATTGTTTCTTCTCACCTGTTCCCATCATCACTCCTTACTTTGGGGGCAGTTGGGGGAGTTGTCTTCAAAAGGCAAAAACCACTTTTGATCAAAATTACCACTGAAAATCCTTAAATCTAGGCTGCTGCGGTGCAACCCTATACTGTCATCCCAGTGTCTACAAAACCATTTATAGGACACTGAGGATGGAGGTACTTAAGATGGTAGAGTTTGGAGTGTAGCAACTGACAAGTCAGAGGAGACACCAGATGGTTGAATCCCTTGCCTTTCTTTTTCTCCGGCCAAAAAATTCAAGAAAGATAATTTGCATGACAAAATTACAAAACACATACTCTATGAGGCAGACACACATACTCTCCTAAAAATCCTTGTATCAGATGTCTGAGATCATGACAGATATAAGCTTTGTTTCCTCAACTTAGGAATCTTAGCTATATATTGAAATATTTAAAAGCAATCAAATGATAACAAAAATCATACACTGTTTCTTCACCTCTGTTAAAATGCTAAAGGAGTAAAAGAATATTTAATATTAAATTCTGTAACTCACATGCCGAGTGCTAATAAGGACGGCAATAATACCTACCAATATTGTGTGCTTCCTACATGCCACGGATCTTGCTCTGTGATTTATGTATACATTAGTTCATGTAAACCTTAAAAAAAAAACCACTCTCAGAATTACTTCTATGTCACCGCTGAGGAAAATGGGATATGGTGAGATAGAAAACTGCTCTTGCCTGGGTCACACAGTAAAAGAGCAGCAGAGCTGGGATTTGAACCCAGGTTTGCCTTTAGAGTCTCTGCTGTCAATTCCCGCGCTCTATAGCCTCACAATAAATAAGCTGTTTTCTCACTGAAATGCTTTGAACTGAAACTTCGAAGATGTGATTTTTAGTTCTTAGCAGAAACATGCAGGAAATAATAAAATGGCCTTCAGAAGCAGGCTGACAAGCCATTCCTGGGGTCAACCACCACAGATGGGACAGATTTCCTCTAGAAATAAATCTCTGCTTCTCATATCATGCCACCAAATGCCAGTTCAATGGCAACCCCTCGAAACACGGTTGTCCTACACTCAGAAAAGCCAAGAATTCCAATCCTGTTCTGCAAATTAACTGGTAGCATTGCAAACCTGATTCTGCCAAGACACAAATCCATTATAGACCGAGTGCACTGAGCCCACCATAATCGGTCCGCCCGATTCCATTCAGGGACCCAATACTATGTGTGTCCCTGTTCATGTATTTAGTGCTAGTTCAGAAAAGCACAAAATCGACTAAAAATCCACTTAAAAAAAATCCCAAAGTAGATCAGGAACTTGTCAAAATCAAACACTTGGAAACCATTCTTAAAAATAAGCAATCAGTTCCCAGTGTGCACTCCTAAATTCACCTCCTTCCACTCAGGTCAGATTCTCAGAAAAATAAAATCCTAAAAAGACTAGCAATGATTACATTAATAAGTCGGCTTCAAATTTCATTACAAAATTATATATATATATATATATAAACATCAGCTATTTTCTTACAGGAAATTCAGTATTTTAGAGTCACTTAAGATACGGGAGTTTCCTAAGACATCAGGTAGGGAAAATAAAGTTAAATCAAGGCAAAAAGAAATGGACTGTTTATATTAAGTTGTGCCATATCCTATCAACAATTTATCTTTCTAGTCTACCCTAAGGTGACAGCTTCAAACTGAGTTTAACAAACCCTTGTCCCAGGCACTGGGAAAGGCACAATGATTAAAAAAAAATTACTACTACCTGCTCTCAATGAATTTATAATTGAGTGACACAGATTAGACATATACATAAAAATCCTCTGCATACAATGCTTTTCCTTATCTAATATGACCAAACAGTTGTCGAAAAAGTCAGAGGAAAGATTTCCAAGACCCAGACGTGTATCAGACAGGTCTTGCTTATTGTGCCAAATAATCAAAGAGCATGATTTGCTTTTTCCTCTCTGCTCATTAAGGCTCTGGCAATGAACACTGCTTTGGTTTCTTTAGTCTCTTACCTCAGTTTATTTTCTGTTCTCTGCTCATGTAATAAGATATATCTTTTTGGGATTTCCTGTTCTGCTTTTAGGTTTTTTCTGCTGCTATTGCCGGGGGCCCACGTCTTACCCTCTCCTATCACAGTTAAGTTTTGTGTTTGCTGGGGAGACCTACCACACGGTTCTTTCTTTGTGCTTTTTTACTGGAGATCTGGAAACAATCTCTGAACAGATCTGTGAGCACTGAGAATGGCTCTGAAAACTTCGAAGCTAACTATTCAAAAATAATAAACTTCTGGAAGTCTACCTTCAGAAAGTCTAATCAGGAAGGTAAAAGCCATTATAACCGCCCACCATGATTTCAACTTTTTTTTTTTTTTAAAGATTTTATTTATTTATTTGACAGAGAGAGGGAACACAAGCAGGGGGAGTGGGAGAGGGAGAAGCAAGCTTCCTGCCGAGCAGGGAGCCCAATGCGGGGCTCCATCCCAGGACCCTGGGATCATGACCTGAGCCAAAGGCAGACGCTTAACGACTGAGCCACCCAGGCACCCCATGATTTCAACTCTTTGCATCTCATTGCTGTTAGCTTGGCTACAGATAACAATAGTAAGATGGACTTCAGATTGAAAGCAAAAGAAATGATGTTAAAAAATATGGCAAATTTTAATACATGGAAGGGCTACCAACAGATGATTACTGGGGATTCAATGTCATTAACATTAGGCCAAAATCATCAGTATTTTGTACCTGCTGAAATGAAGGTCAACTTGACAAAGCCTTTATGAGCACAATACAGACACTTCTTGGTGGTTACAGGTCTGTGAATAGCTGGAGTTGACCTTGCTTTTATTTATCCTTATCTCTGAGATTTAAAACTCGCTCTTACTTTTCATCCCCTAAATTTTGGTAGTTAATATCGGCGTTATAAAACCAACCAACAACATCATGTGTGTTTCAATTTCCCCTGGAAGGAAAAACCCACCATAAAAAAGGGGCTACAGAGTAACCAAAGGCCACAGGATGAGATTAATGATAAACCTAGATGGCTGAACCTGAATTTTCTTCAAACACTTCCTGCCTTTTGTTTCAACAGAACTACACCTTCAAGGTTAACTGCAGTCTCCCTGAGCAACGGACCAGCCCACCCTAAACTGGGAGATACTCATTCCTAATCTAATGCTCTTTATATACTTATCTACACTGTTTTATTTGAAAACATGCTATTATTCACTGACAAACAATATACACTGCATTCTACCCACGTAAGGCCAACTCTGCAGATAACCAACACACCCACCTATCTGTGAAACATAAAAGGATGGTTTTTTTTCATCAAGTTCCCAAGGGCAGAAATAGGGTAGAAAGCAAAAATGAAACGCAACTCAAACCTAAAAAGCCCTTGGAAGTTGGGTTCTCCCACAAGGAGCAGAGGTTGGAGGGAAGGTACAAAGAGTGAAGGGGGAGTGGGGAGTTTGTATTTCTCCTTCCTCCAGAGTCTAAAACAGTCCCGAAGCAGGTGAGCTCTGGACCCCCGCCACCTCCCCCCTCCCCCGCCCAAGGGAAGAGAGGATCCGAGGGGCTTCTGGAGGAAGCCTGAGTATCAGAGAGTGGGGGATGGGAAGAACTGAAGTCGGGGAAGGCCGCTTCTTCTGTGGAGCAGGCTGTCTAGGTCGGGTCTTGATTTCTGCTTCACCCATCTTTTTTGGAAAACACTGATTTTTATCTTACGGGTGAAGCTAGCTCTGGTCCCACTCTAGAGAGCAGGGACAAGTGTAGGGAGGGGTGTCTGGCCTCCCGGGGGTACAAAATGGGGGTGGGGGCGGCAGCCTAGAGAATGGGAACCTGTGCGCCCTCCCGAAGGTTGAGGCGCTGGGCGAGCGGGGCCCTTGAACGAGGGGTGTCAGGAGGGAAGCCCCTTTACGGAGCTGGGATTGACGGGGGACAATAAGTAGTTGCGAGGACCCTCGGAGGATGAGGAGCCGCCTGCTCGGGGAATACCTTGAGGCGGAGGAGACGGCCCCGCCCCCTCAGGGGATGGGCGCAAGTGGCAGTGGGGACGGTGGTGGGAGGACACCGGTGGTCCTACCCTTGCTTTTCTCTCGAGAACCCGGCCCCCCAGCCACCGCCAAGCCCCAGCCCAGGCGGCTCCTACCTTTTCCCGGCGCTCCGGGCTCTGCACCCCGCCGCCTCCGCCACCCGCTCCCATCCACAGCCCCCCGAGGCCCTGCCCCTCAACCGCCAGGCGGGCGCAATGGCATTCACCAGGGCCAATCGCCTCCTCGCTTCCTCAGCCCCGGCACCAGTCCGCGCCGGCTGGAGGAGGGGCTTCTCCAATGTCATTTAGGCTCCTCCCGGGGCCCCAGGATCCCTTTTGTTTGGGGAGAGCCAGGCTGGGATTGAGCTCGCGTCACTTCCTGGAGGAAGCGACCTCCTCCGGCCTGGGCTCCGGGGTGGGCTCGCGCCCCTCCCGGCTCCGCTTCTGCAACTTTCCACCGTGTGGGAGGCTTCTGGGCAGCACGGTGGCGAGTGTTTCGTGCTTTACCCTGCCGGTCTGGGAAGCTTAGGAATGGCGGGCTTTGGGTGCCCAGGCTGATTGGGTACATTAACGTTTCATTTTATCCGAAATGTTAATAAATGAAATGCTCTTTGGTGTCTGCTTTAGAATTCGTTGTCGAAAACCTGGTAACGTGGCTTTCCTGCTGTCTCTTTCTCTTGGACCAGCTTGTGGGTGTGGTGCTAGAAGCAAGAGCGCAAAGATGATAAATCCGGAGACACCCCCCGCCCCGCCCCGCCCTTCTCTTTTCCCATGACATGTGGAAGAGAAACACTAGCACTGGAGTCCCTGGCGCGGGGACACCGGGTAGCACCAGGGAGAGCAAAACCCGGTCCGACCTGCCTTCCAGGCAGAAGTGGAGTAATTGCAAATTAGTCTGTCGAGGTTTTCCACGCTATGCGTGTCCGATGAGGGGATATTTTTGTGTCCTTGGCCCCATTTTATTGTGGGGCAATGGCGTTTGCCGTGAAGCTGGAACAAAGGGCAGTATAGAGGATGCAAGGAATGTCTGTCCCTTCTTGTGAACACAGGAATGCAGATCTTGCTGTTAGCAGCAAGCCCTCCCAGGACCAAATAACCCAGAGAAGAAAGAGGATGCATCCTTAGTTGCATCCCTATCTGAGGTTAAGTTTTCTGGATTCCTTTTTCATAGACTGCACTCCAGTTCACCAGATCAATTTAGCTGGTTAAGATAATAATAACCACATTATTTTAAATACAACATAATAAATACTTATAATACAGTTAAAAATTTATAATGAGTAAATAATGTATTGCTTTGAATACATTATGCCTAATCATAACAATTATTATTAAGCAAGATAGTATTAGGGGCATAGTATTGATCTAGGAAGACATGTCATCACAGTGGCTGGTACTTTCATATGATATCTTACTTAATCTGCGCTATTATATGATAAATCTATCCTAACCTGTAAGATAGACATCATCCTGCCTATTTTACAGATGAGAAGATAGCAATGAAAAGAAATCAAATAAGGTCACAGAGCTGGTAAATGGTAAAGAAAGAACTTCCAATGAGGATGGAAGGCTCTAAACCTGTGCCATATTCTGCTCGCTGCACATTGACTCTCACAAGGAGAACTGGTCCACAGAATGGACCTGGAAGAGTACAAAAACAGCATCAGGGCCGGAAAAAGTCTCCACGCCTGCCTGCTATTGATCGTAGGCCCGAGAGAGTCATCCCCATTTAAGGACAGCAAGACTGTACTGAGGTGCTCAACAGCAGCCCAAGGGTTTTTGAAGTAATGACAGGAAATTCAGACCTGAAAGACATCGTTCCCTGTGTTCAGGAGACCAGACAATCTGAAAGGCAGGAGGAAGGCCAGGCACATAGTAGGTGCTTGGTGAACACTGATCTGACTTGAAACAAAATGTCTGAAATGGTTAAAAACACAGAGTGGGAGGTGCTGGAATAGGCCCACAAATGTGAAAAATCTCATTTCCTCCTCCTCCCTGTCGCCCTGCCTCTGCATTTGCCATGAGGAAGTGCCTCATTGCCCGACAATGAGACAGATGTGGGAGAACAGGCTATTTTCTGCTAGCTTCTGAGTCACCCTAAGAGTTGTCCTAGTGAATCAGCTCCTCCCTCCCTCCCCTCCTTTCCTTTGTAGCTGTTAACCCACCACCACCCATTCTACTCCCAGGCTGGTTTACTTCCTTTATGGCAACCAGCAGCTCCCCTGACTCCCTGGCTCCCTCTCCCCATTCCTGAGTGAGTGTGGGAGGACCTAGCAAGAATGACATCATCCCTGCCTGGTAGGAATCAGAGTCCTAAGGGTGTTCAGATTGCTTTCCTTTTGATTCATCACCTCTGAAGGCAGTGAACAGGCAGGGTTTGTAAAGCCAATGGTGACCTTTAGGCTACAGTGTGGGAAAGTTCTGAAGTTTTGTGATTCTTCGGTACATAAAGCGTGTAAATAAATTTAGAGTCTAGTACAAAGGTGTACGCAGAGGTAGAGAGTGGGTTCATAATAATATCTTAAGTTTGTATAACATTTGTATATCTATTACTTTATCAACTTGCCAGTAAATATTTATTAAATGCCTACTGTGTTTCAGGCAACACCTTCATAAGAAGTGGTCAAGATTATAGCTCGTGTCAATTTTTCTCCAAATAGGTAAACTTCCTAGGTAGGTGTTCCATAAATGTTTATTTGCTGGTTTGGGGAGATAATGACGGAGCAGACTAGAAGGGCTAGACTAGGAGTAAAAAAAAATTAGAGTTCTGTTGGAGTTCTCTCTCTTCACAAACCATATAAGTTTCCCAGGGCTGCTGGAGATTACCACAAACTGGATGGCTTAAAACAACAGAAATTTATTCTCTTTCAGTCTGGATCCTAGAAGTCTGAAATCCAGGTGTTGACAGGTTGGCTCCTTGGGGGAGGGAGCTCTGAGGGAGGATCCATTCCTTGCTTGTCTCCTAGCTTCTGGTGGCTCGGACCATCCTTGGCTTTCCTTGGCTGGTAGCTGCATCATCCCAGCCTCTGCCTGTGTTCACATGGCCTTCTTTCCTGGGTGTCTTTTGTCTCCATACATCCTCTTCTCTTCTTATAAGGATATATAAGGATAACAGTCATACTGGATTTAGAGCTCACCCTAGTCTAGTATGACCTTGTCTTAACTCATTACATCTGCAAAGGCCTTTATTTCTGAACAAGCTCACATTCTGAGGTTCCAGGTGGACATGAATTTTGGGAAGGAGGGAAAACCATTCAAATCAGCATGCAAACACTCCCCACTTAACTCCATTTAAGTTCGTTGGTAAATAGCATGAAACTAAGGAACTGATTCTTAAAGATCATTTCAGTTCTATGACTATATGATAAATTGTATATACCAGAAACATTTCTCAAGCCTTTACTGCATGCCAGGCACTGTGAAATTGCCTTACAGTTCATCTTATTTAACCTATAAAAGAATTCCAGGAGATAGGTGTGAATATTCCCATTTTACAGATGAGGAAGCTGAGGCACAGAGAAGTTCATGGTCATGGAATTCATAAGGGATGAATAATGAATATTTACTCAGATCTGATCCCAAAGTGTACATTCATAATTACTATGCTCTATCATCTCTCCATCATGCTGGATGGGTTAGGAATATGGGGAATGCCACAAATATTTTAAAATTTGATTTATGGAATACCTGGAGCTGTGTAGCAATCTTCCTGGGGTTATGAGTATAGTTCGAACCTATTTTAAAACAAGGGAAAGCAAGAGAGGAGGGGGTGGTGGGTGGCCATGGAAATTTAGTAGGGAAGAGGAGAGTTATGGGCACTTACCTGAACCTCAGTTTCCCCATTTGTAAAATGGAGTAATAGTTCCTGCCCACAACACCAGGTCGTTGTGACTATTCAAAACAGATGATGGACATGAAAGTATTTGGTAAACTCTATGAGGGATTATTATAAACTGCCTGGGAGATCTTGCTCAAGCTCATTCTCCTCTCTGGGCTCCAGCCCTTCAGCTAACATCTGGGGGTTGAACATCTGGGGCTCTATAAGACTCCTTCTAGCTGTGAGCGACTGGGACTTGCTGAGATGCTTGGGGGCTAGACGTAGAAGTTGGAGTGACTGGGAAAAGTGGCCAGTCTTCCCTATCTCGGGTTTTCCTCGACCTCCAGGGAGCTCCTCCACCAGGGGACCCAGAGGTGGAAGTTTAGAAGCCCAGGAGAGCTCTCTAGGCCGGTACCAAGCTGAAGCAGGAGGTAAGGTGTGCGCTCTCCACGGATCCCTGCATTTTCTCCCATCATTTGTCTCCACAAAGGCCTTTCCGAGTAATCCTTAAGCGTTCTCTTCCTGCTTGGATCGGCCCGACTGGGCGACTGGTACACACAGGGAGTGGAGAGATTTTGGGGCGTGGCCCTCACTGTGTTCCCGAGCTTATTGCTCCCCCTAGTGTCCAGCAATGCGTCCTGCAGCCGTCTCCTTTCCTCCTGGCCATCCCCCAGCGCTCCAGGAAGGCTTCTCACCTGGCGGTTTTTCCTTTTATGGATGTAGGCTGAGCGCGCAACAGGTAAGGGGCTCCAAGGACCACCTTCAGGGACGGATTCTCTGGCTTCCAGCTAAATATTGGAGCCAGCTTGGCCATGAGGGAGCAGCAACACTCTTCTCCTGGATTGGGTAGGGGAAGGTTGGGAAGGAAAGGGAAAGAAATGCAACCTTGAGTGCCTCCCTGGTATCAGGCACTGTGCCAAGGTGCTTTACCTATATTACCTGTGTAATCCTTGTAATCTCTGCATGTATAATCCTTGTGATCTCCACACATATAATCCTTGTGACCAGCCTAAGAAGTGATTACTATTACGTCTAGTTTTTCAGATAAGAAAGCAAGTGCAGAGAGGTTAAAACAACAATAGTGCTAACAACATCAGTCAAATTGTTCAGTGCCTACTTAACAGCAGGCACATTATTTCTTTTAATTCTCACCACAAACCTTTAAAACAGTTACTGTAGGGCGCCTGGGTGGCTCAGTTGTTAAGCTTCTGCCTTTGGCTCAGGTCATGGTCCCAGGGTCCTGGGATTGAGTTCCACATCGGGCTCCCTGCTCTGTGGGAAGCCCGCTTCTCTCTCTCCCACTCCCCCTGCTTGTGTTCCCTCTCTCGCTGTGTCTCTCTCTGTCAAATAAATAAAATCTTAAAAAA